ACTTCGCCTACGTGGATCCCAGATGTAGAAGAGCATATACCTTCCCTGTTGGACCTTCTGCTGACCTCACATCCGGATGGATATCAGACGCCCCTCTAGGCTAGTCGGATCATTGTCTTGTCCGGAGTGTGGTGCCAGTCACATTAACATCACGGTTACATTCTGCAGGCTGCCGCCGTTTTGGGGCTATAGGTCGGCCGATTGGGATAGGATGTTGTCTTTTTTTGCATCAGACCCTTGGGTTTGCTTCTCGCCGGACGATCTCATCGTTGTTACTGATTCTGTTGATGATGTGGTACTTTAGGGTATAGAACTTTTTGTTCCATTCTCTGTGGTGCCCATCGAAGGCAGATACCAGCCATGTTTTGGTCGCTTTAGTAAAATAGCAGTACGCTATAATCAGGAGTGCTACCGGACCTGGGCTGACGCATCAACTTCTCAGTATGTAAAAACCAGCGCTCTTAAAAAAAAGTATAATTCCGCCTCCGGGTCCTTCAAAATAGTCATTCCCAAGACATGGTCTGAGCACATCGGCAGAATTGGCGAGTAAGTAGTTCACCTTCCTTCGGGAACCCGTGTATTCTTGTCTTTCGCCAAAGCTGTCCAAGAGAATTTCTGTCAGTCAACTCTTCCATCTCTGCACAGAGAGGACGACTCACTGGTCCATGTCGCAAAGAAGAAATGTTTGGCTTTCCCTTTGCGTCCAACTCAACTCACGATGACGGAGAAAACACACCGCCGACCATCCCGCGGTGTGAATGCTCTATGCCGGATGTGCGGTTTACACAGCGCTCGGTTTGCAAATAACTCCTCTCCCTGGACGTCAGCAAGTCCCATTGTGCTAAAGACCGGTTCTAACGTGTCTTTTCTGGTACTCCTACTCTAAAGGTGTAGTCTCGAATTTATGGAAGGCAGGTTTGGTCCACCCGATCCTTAAGAAAGGCGACCGCTCAGACCCGTTCAACTATAGGTCTATCGCCATCACCTCCTTGTTCTCCAAATTAATGGAGTCCATTATAAGTTGCCAGCTCATGCGGTACCTTGAGAATCACCAGCTGATTAGTGACCGCCAATACGGTTTTCGTCGTGGTTGATCATCTGGTGATCTTCTGGCTTAACTAACTCATAGGTGGGCGCAGGCAGTAGAGTCCAAGGGAAGGTATTGACCGTTAGTTTGGACTTAGAGAAGGCCTTCGATCAGGTCTGGCACAAAGCGCTTCTTTCGAAGCTCCATTCCTATGGGCTTTCCGAGAAATTGTGCAATTGGGTCATCAGTTTCTTCGCTGATTGGAGCATCAAGGTCCTTAGTAGACGGTAAATGCTCTTATTACAATCCTTATTACTTATCCTTAATTACAAGCCTATAAACGCTGGTGTTCCACAAGGCCGCGTGCTATCGCCAACGCAGTTTTTTCTGCATGTCCATGATATGTTACAAACTGGTAACATTCATTGCTATGCAGACGACAGCACTGGTGATGCCTTATACACCGACCGTGCCAATATTTCTCGGGAAAACGTCGCCGAGTACCGTGACAAACATATGTCAGAAGTCGAGTCTTTGCTGAACAAAGCTTCGGATTGGGGGCGAATAAATTTAGTCCAGTTCAATCCCCAGAAGTGCGCGTTTAACGCTAAAAAGAACCAATTTGTCGTATCTCCTCAGTTTCAAGGCACTCCCCTTGCTACCTCAGCTAGCATCGGATTTCTCAGCGTTGATATGTTGCTTTCCTCCAAGCCGGTAAGGAGCCTGCAAGTGAGCACGAAACTGTGTGCAATTCGTGCTCACTTGGAGGGGAAGGCCAGATTGGCCTCAAAAAAGCTTGACGTCTTACTGTCTCACTCTGCTGAGCAGAGCAAGACAGTATTTACATGCCGGCACATCGCTAGCAACAACAAGCGCAAGTTGGGCCTCACACGGAATACTGTTCTCATCTCTGGGTGGGGGCACCCCAGTACCAGCTCATTCCACTTGACCGCATCCAGTGCAGAGTGGTTCGAATCGTCGACAACCGAGTTTTTTTCTAATCGGCTCGATTCACAGGCGCTGCGTAGGGATGTTGCATCTCTTTGCATTTTCTGTCGCATCTACGGGGGGTGCTTTGTGGAATTGTTCGAAATAATCCCAGCCGTCCAATTTCATGAACGCACATCATGTCAAAATTTAAGGTACCACCTGAATGCTTGGCGGTCCACCACTGTACTTTTTAATAGGAGTCTTATCTCGTTTAACTTCTCTGTGGATTTGTTTACCAACGGCGGTTTTTCCGGATCGATACAACTTAGGGACCTTCAAGAAAAGAGCTTACCCTTTTTTTAAAGGCTGGCAACGTGCATGCAATTCCCCTGGTGATGCGGTTGTTCATGGGCGGCGGTAGCCACGTACCATCAGGAGAGCTGCGTGTTCGTTTGCCCCTTCTTTTATAAAAAAATCAGCGTAGAGAACCGGAGACACTTTTCACTAGATACAAGGAATTCCATCCCAGTCCTTAGGGTCTGTATTTTGATTCGTAATTGAGGATAAATGGATAGTGTGCTCGTTTGTCACACTCATCCTATAAAAAATAGAGTCCGTATTGTTCAGCTACCTATTTCTTCTGATTATTTGACTCTGAGTAGCAGTGCACTCAAGGGGCTACAGCATCCACTTATCATAAGGTGGACTATGTGCTCATTTATCACCCTTATCCTTTAAAAAAACTGCTATTATTAAACGTACATTCAATAAATTTAACAAACTTAAGCAATAAAATAAATACATTTATACATTGCCACTGACATAAACAAAACATGTCGAAACATAAACATTAGGAACACGGGTGACGATTTGATCACTATCTCAAACGTGCAATTATTCCGAATGTTCAGTTATCTAAACTATTTTCCGAGCACAACGCAACAGCAATAGAACATTAGGTAGTCAAATTACTTGCAGTAAATAATTAAAATGAAGCAACTAATATTAAGGCCATTGTAAGACTTGTACATAGAATGATATATTCTTGCACAAGACACCTTTACATCTTTCATTCGGACTTAAAAACGCTGGTATAATGTTTGCCGCGTTATACGGGGTAAATTTGCAATAACCGGCAAAATTTGCAGAGGTAGTTCGGAATAAGTAATATAGGCAAATTATGAAGAAAACTTAATTAAAAAAAATCTCAAACATTCTGTCCTTTTTATCTTTTAAAGTCAAAACGCGTGGTAATGCATTATTATAACTAATTTTACTTCGCACGCACATATTCGTAAGGGTCGATTGGTAGACAAAAATTTTGTTGCCCATAAATTGCATTTCATTTAGGAATAAGTAAAATTTGAAACCTTATTTACTCCTATTTTTAAAAACTGCCATAACAGTATAACATTATTTATTTATACTGTTATTGCAGTATTTTAAAATAACTTAAAGTAAATAAAATAAATTAAAGTTTACATTAAAGACGAATTGAGTAATATAAATATTTAAAGCCCTTTATAGCAACTATTCTTGAAAATGAAGTATATTTTAACAATCTCATTAAAAGACATTAGAAATTTATTCATTACCACCGGAAATAAACTATAAATTATGATCACAAGAGTCCTTTTACAAGGCTAGGAAATAACTCTAACGTGATATCTTTTCACTGCGGACTATTGAACATAAATTATTACATAAATCGTCATTTGTTTACATAGTTAAGGACAGATACTTCTTTTTAAAATGATTTTTTTTTCTTAAAAATAATAGGTCAAGGTGTATTTCTGGATGCCTTTGATGAAATGTATTAATTCCTTCATTAAGTACATCTTATCAAAAGTCCACTTCCCCATAGATTGTCTCATAGTGAGATATTACCATAGTTTGCACCACAGGTTGAACGACAGACGGGTTGACAACCACAGCTTTTTCTCTCAGGTTATCAGGAAAATGTTGTCCATCTCTTATTTCATTTACCCTCTGTCGCCTCTTACGACACTCACGGATAATTATTTGATAGTGGGATTGGATTGCCTTGTTGATAAAAACGATCTTACAAAGAAAATAAAACCCTGGTAATATGTAGTAAGAATGCTTTCTGCCTCATGTGCTTTGTATGATACGTATAGAGAACCGGAGACCCTTTTTACTGGAAAGGCATTCCATCTTAGTCCTCACGGGTGACAACGCATGTGCTTTTTGATTCGTAATCGAAGATTGATGGACAGTGTGCTCGTTTGTTACACTTATCCTATAAAAATTCGGTGTTGTTTAGCGACCTATATATATACTGCCTTTAAGTAGCAGTGCACCAGGGCAGTGTCCCAGTTCAAAAGTAAAGTGAGAACAATTACAGACTGTAGCGTTTCATATTGTTCATCAAGGGCAACAACTGTTTGCGTCCTTCTTTGTTTGATCTGGCCTGCAGTTTGTATTAGATGGACGGTTAGCTTGTTTGATATGATCTCTACTATGATATTAAAAATGAATATATTTGAAAGTTAAAATATTGATTATTTAATGACGTCAATGAGGGTTTGCCGCAATTAGAGTTGCCAGGCGTCCGGATATAGCCGGACACAGTCAGGCTTTTTGGTTGCGTGTGTGGCCTTATCAGACTGTGACCGGCCTGTCTGGCTTTTGTAAGGCTTTTAAAATTTGACAATTTTTTTTACATTTGTCATGTGTTAATTTCCACTCCGCCCGCCTTGCCTTATATTGCTAGCATAGCAAGCGAACTAGCACTTACCTCCCGCGCCCCAGCCTCTCCTGAGGGTGGTGGAGATAAAGAATGCATCTCCACCTCACTCTATTCGCAACGAAAAATAATTAAGGGTGTCCGGGTTTTTACCCAAATGTCCGGCTAAACTGGCTGGCCTGTTCGTGTTTTCGGTTTAAACACCCGGCAACCCTAGCCTCAATTCACAAACCCAATGTTACGAATTAAAGTGCCCAAATAATAGGACCCAAACAATTTAACAAGCCCACAAATGGTGAACATATTTAAAGTTGGTTGCGTATTGTTGTCTTACTGATGCCAATGTCTCAAAGTAATTCAAGGTAAAAAACATAACCAATTGCAATGATTGCTTAAGACATGGCGTGCTGCTTCGGAGTGCTTTAGTGCGACTTGAAACCTCGAAGGAAGTGCATGCTTCTAACATAGATAAATAAATTCCACGCGGAAAATAAGTAAAACTGTGCGGAGTTTTGTTAAATATTTAAGGTAAGTTATTATTTATTTATATTATTTACGCCGTAATTATACCTAATAAGCAACTTTTGATTCGTACTAGGTAAAAGTAAAAGTATGTTACTCAACATCTATTACATAAATCCTGGTTAACAAGTTTTTCCTACTTAGGTAAGTTTTAGGTAAGTTAGCTTTTTAAGCTAGGCTTTTGCCTAACCTGCTATAAAGTCAAAAGTGAATAAACTGAACACGACTTAATTTAAAAATAATAGATACCACAATATTTTACAAAAAAAAACGTAATATTTTATAATTTTGTAACTAATAAATTAAAAAAATAAATCATAATATTAAATTAAATTTGTATTAAATTTATAATATTCAATAATAAATTAATAACTTAATCTCGTTACAATTTGTCTAAATAATGTTTACCGTATATCGGCGGTATAATATGGAATATCCATTATTCCATATCGTCCCATGGGTGTCATAACGGGTAACAGAGGTAGGTACACAAACCAACAAATGGGCAGCGTCTTCCTTATAAGAATCAAACTACGTGTCACGTTGTTTGTCCACGATGGACTCCTAAACTACTTAACCGATTTTAATCAAATTTGCACACCGTGTGCAGTTTGATCCAACTTGAAAGATAGGATAGTTTTTTTCCCATAAGTGACCCACAATTTTTTTGCCTATTTTTTTTAATAGGACATGACAAAGGGTCGTCAAAAAGGGCAGAACAACATCACCTAGCAAGCTAGTTCAATATAGAAAATTGCGATTGCAATCTTGCTTGCCAAGCGGGCAACTATTGTAAATGTGTGGGTTATAATCTATCGGGAGGCCATGTTCAACAGCGAACGTATGCTGTAATGAATGAATGAATGAATGAATAATATATGTTGTCCTTCATTGTCCTTAAGTTCTTATAAGCATTCTCATATATTTATACTACCTGATTAAATTCTATTAATACTGTAATGGACGCCACACCCGGTCAGTTCCACTGATCATTCTAACTGATCAGTTGAAACTAAAACTGTTGAAATTTTTTAAATAGTGGATTTTTGATATATCGGTCATTATAAATATATCAATATCGGAGTTTTACATATAAGTTTATTTATGGATATATCGCAAATCCGATATTTTAAAAAATATCAACAGTTTTAGTTTGAACTGATCAGTTGAAATGATCAGCTGAACTGACCGTGTGTGGCGTCCATTTGAGAATTGATTTGATTTTAGTTGAACTGATCAGTTGGAATGATCAGTTGAACTGACCGTGTGTGGTCACCATAAGAACTGTTTAAATAATGTTAAGCACGCCTTGCGGGGATATTTGCTATAGTTGCCACGCTTGGCAAGCGTTTTGACAATGGCAGTATTTTTTGTCGTTATTAGCAAGATTCTGCAGCCCTACCTCTGATTTGTTTACCTCTGTCGCCTCTTACGACATCCACGGGATGATATGGGGTAGTGGATATCCTTACTCCGCCACTACACTATGAATTCTGTACTCCTGTGGTTAATACCCTAGATAATTTATACCTTTTTTAATGAATAATGGACTGTATCGCGTTTAATTTAACTTACATTTACTAATTTTAACCCCTGACGTGCTGTAAAGCACCATAAAAGTAGTTTTACGGATTTTATTGAAGTTAATTTATCTTAAATACTTTTACTTAATTTAATTCCCGAATTGCTGTACAGTACCTACCAGATATAGTAGAACTGAGCGCGAAACAATCCGTAAAAAATAGTTTTATTCAATGTGTGGTGTGGTACTCGAGTAAATATAACAAAAAATTACTATACCTACTTTTATTTAAAAAATAATAGGAAACCACTTTGTAAGCGACCACTGTAGTACCTTTAACTATCCCGATAAATAATCAAATTCTAATCCTCTCCTACATATAACCCGGTTAGCATTTTGAGATATGATAAGTGCGATTGGCAAGTTTAACTGACAAATGATAAGTGCTTAGTGTATTTTCACAATTAACACTTGTCACTGTCTGTTCACACGGACAAAGCACTTATCATTTGTCAGTTGCACTTACCACTCGCACTTGTCATTTCAAAATTTGAACTGGGCCTATGCATATGTCGGGTTATGACAACCATAAAGGCTAAGATTAAAAGCTTTTATCAAAGATCAATTTACGAACGCAGCAGGGTTAAATTACAATTTTATTGATGGTACGACTCCCTTTCTGCCGAGGAGTCCCGAAATAGGTAAGAGTTTAAGTACCTCGTACCTATTTCATCGCCAAATAGAAGCGCCTGCATACTGCTTTCTTGACGTAACAACTCAATAATTTATTTGGACCCTTACAACTAATATACTGAGTTAGTCGATTAGTATACCAATAATAAGTAATCAAATCACAAAACGCAATGTTTTGTTGGATATAATCTAGTACCAACATAACTATAGACATAGTGATATAAATCAGTTGCTTATTTACTTAATTAAATTTAAACAAAAACCAGGCCACTAGATGATTCTGCAATTTCTTTTCCGAGTCATTTCCTTTATATTTTAATTAATATCGGAGTTTTACATATAAGTTTATTTATGGATATATCGCAAATCCGATATTTTAAAAAATATCAACAGTTTTAGTTTGAACTGATCAGTTGGAATGATCAGCCGAAACATCAGTGAATACTATATATTATATACGTATATACACGGTAACTATGTGTCTTTGCCTTACATGAGCTTAATTTAACTGTTAGATAATGAATGTTTACATAATGGTTTCTTATATTTACGCGTACACTACACATTTAAATAAAACAATTTTTTACGGATTTTATAGCGTATATTAACTTTTTTACATTCCTGACCCATGGTCACGGGAGGGACTGATGTGTTCGACGTCCCGAAGTCATAGTTAACCGCGTATTGTTATATTATTGTATTTTGGGGTATTAAAACATCAATTAGAACGACTACTACTCACTACATGAAATTTGATAGACCACAAATCCTCGTTAAAGAACACCGATCCCTTCCAATGATGATTCGCGAGGCTCTTGAAATCAAAAAACATCCTAATTTCAAAATAGAAGATGGCTAGGAACTACCATCTGCTTGGGATCATATAATTATTGAAATAAAATTTCAACCCAAGCATAAAACTGCAAGACTTCAAGATACTATAAGTTCATACTGCGTAGATCTTGACAAAAATTAATAATTTTTATCTGTGAGTAACCGCGGTTAACTATGACATCTGAACGTTGAACATCTCACTCTCCCCGTGACCATGGTTACTGTAAAGTGCTCGAAACGTCGGGAATATAAAAAAGTTTATACATGCAATAAAATCCGTACAAGCTAGTATTATTTAACTGAATGTTTATTTTTACGTTCGAATTTACGAAATAAGTACATACTTGATTATTATAAATGATATATATATCTTTATTTGTAAGAATCACGGTATAAAAAGTTGTTACAAATTTTACCTTTGATTAGCATTCATATTACAATTTTAAAATGTTCATATAACGACAATATTAGTAATTATTTAAATCTAAACAAATCAATCTTAATAATTATATCAAAAATGTTTTAAGGCATAAAAACATTCAAGTATTAACCATTTATACAAATGTTTCTTATATAATGTTTTGGTTAATATTTTCAATTCTTAAGGTATTTTATTGTATATTTTCACACACATATTTTGGAAATTTTTGTAATACCCTACTTGACCGTTGACTATCCCATCATTTCTTAGAACAGAAATAATAAGTATGCAAATATATGAAGCGTTCTATAGGGAGAGCCCATGCTTAACAGTATACTTTGCGTCGCTATTATGCGTATTAATTACTAGTTTTATCGGTTTAAGAGGTTAAGATCGCAGCTGAACGGATTTTGATGAAATCTAATACACAGATAATTCATGTCCTGGATGAACGCATGAGATACTTCTATGAAATCCACTTCTTCCATGAAAGCGCGAGCCGAAAGTATTTACAATTTTCTAGGTAAATGTTCATGACATTTTTTGCGGTAAAAGTTAGGTAAAATAATTAATAGTTTGTGCTAAAATGTATCATAAAAACTTAAGATTGACATTAGACTGAGATGAGGAAAATCTTCACGATTTTAAATACATTATGAATAGTTTTCTTTAAAAGAAAACGAAAATTAATGTTACAAAAAACGCTTACGCTCAGACGCTTACGTCAGTGACGAGAAGTGAATATTGCTTAAAGGTTTTTGCACAAAGCATATTTTTTATAGAATAGAGGTGACAAACAAGCACACAGTCGACCTGATGGAAAGTGAATACTGTGATCCATAGACATCTACATCTGTCCTCGATTAAGAATCAAAATGCAGATACGTTGGCCCTCCTGAGGACTAAGAAGGAATGCCTCGTTTCCAGTAAAAAGGATCTCCGGTTTTCTACGCTCACCATACGAAACACAGCAGCATTGAGCTGCTATTTTACGCTGGTATTCCGTGATAGCGTTGTCTTCCCACGGTAGATCCGACCCATTCGTGCTACAACCATAATATAGCTGCAGCATGACTCTACCACGTACTAAAATTATTATGGAATCCATTCTACTTTGTTCTAAAATGAATTAGCGTACTAATAATTTTGTATATATAATTTATTCTATTTAACCGATGAGGGGAAAAAGGTTCTTGAGTGGCAGCGTTGTACCGGTAGGCGTAGTGTAGGGTGACCCCCCAATAGATGGAGTGACGACCTGGTAAGACATGCAGGAAGCCGATGGATGCAGGTGGCTCAGGACCATACTTTGTGGCATTCCTTGGGGAAGGCCAATGTTCAGCAGTGGACTTGTGAAGGGCTATAATGATGAAGATGATGAAGCCGTGTATTATTAAATTTAAGCCATCCACTGCTAAAATAGTACTCGCCCAAGGAATCTCGCCCAAGGAATGCTACAAAGCACGGCCTTAGCTACCTGCATCTATTGACTTCCTGCATGTACCAGGTAGTCACTTTATATAGTGGTGAGGACAC